TGTAAAGAACGACAAATGCGGGCATTTGTTTGAGATGGTAAGCAATCAGCGACGCCGCACTTTAATTGAATTTTTCAACCATTATAAAAATAATACATACATAAAAAACTACATACATTTAAATATATTCTAATTGCATTAAAACTTACTAATTAATTAATTTAATCTTCAAAACACTTTCTTTTAAAACGAGACCGTCCCACTTTGAAACAATAAAATGAAAAAAAAAGTTTTTATTTTAACTTTCCATGCGAAAGTGTCTTATGGAGTGTAGTGTTGTTAATTATAAATCTAAATAAATATTACATTTACATAATGTACGTATCTCTAGAGTAACTTTTCGACCTGGGTGCTTTTCTATATCTATACTAATATTATAAAGAGGTAAAATTTGTAAGTTTGTATGTAGGGGGTAATCTTGGGAACCGCTGGTCGGATGGCAAAAATTCTTTCACTGATAGATAGCTACAATGTTCCTGAGTGCTATAGACTATAAAACATCACGCTACGATCCAATGGAGCCGAGCAGCTGGTGAAACCGCGCGAGTGTAGCTAGTTATTATATTCTAGAGAGGTAAAATTTGTAAGTTTGTATGTGGGGGGTAACTTTGGAACCGCTGGTCGGATTTCCAAAATTCTTTTACTGATAAATAGCTACAATGTTCCTGAGTGCTATAGGCTATAAAACATCACGCTACGATCAAATGGAGCCGAGCAGCGGGTGAAACCGCTAGTAGGTGTATAAAACGGTAAACATACAGATCACGTGATGGACCCCTAACACAAAAGGAATAGATCTTGAGGGAAGGGGTGAATGATTGGTCCCCCGGCGCTTTTTTATGGGATAATGCGGCAAACGAGCACCCTTGATTAACTGATGGTAAGCTATGAGCGCCGCACATAGACAATTGGAATACCAGAGAAGTTGTAAAGAGTACGTTGCCGCCTTTTGCGGTTTTGAGGTTATTCGAATCGGAGTCTCAGGATGGGTGATAGATGGACTATGTATTAATGAATAAATAAAGACTTGACTGCACAGTTGGCTCAGTAGCTGGCTCCTTTATAACGTGTCACGGATGCGATTTCCGCACGGAACAACGCTTTGTGCGATCCATTTAAAGTTATTTCGGGTCTGGGTAGCTTGTGTGTATGTATGGAAACACAATGACGACAAAGGACAAAACCCTAGGGTGAAACAAAGTTTTTTACATTTAAAAAAGTCGCCAATTAAACATAAATACTAGGTTACTACCTACATTAGTAGACAATAATATGCTATCAACAAAATTATTATTAGCAATAATAAATTTGACCCGACATTAGATATCACTTGAAATGTCAGCAGTAATGTAATTTAAACGTTAATATAGATATGTTAATAAACTTGTTTTTATGTTTTCATCCTTACGAACTAGTTCCGTAATAGATAATTTTCTAGAATCAATACAAAAATACATGCTTTTAAATATAAGCGCGCGAGCTACGCTGTGATTTAAAATCAACAAATGGACGCTGGAGTGATACCAGGACCTCACAGTACACTACATCATCATCCTATAAGAAGCCACTGCTGAGCAAAGGCCTCTTCTCACACTGAGAAGGTTTGAGCATTAATCGCCACACTTGCTCAAAGCGGATTGGCTATTTCAAACATATGATTAGAAATTATAAGTTCAGGTTTCCCAACGATGTTTTCTTTCACCGTATGTCGGTGGTGTCTAAATAATTCAAGAAAGTAGGTACATATAACTCCGAAAAAGTCACATTGGTACTTAGTCAGCATAACACCGCGTCGTATTGGCACCACGACTATTTGTCGACTGTACTCACAGTACACCGGCGTGAAACAACTGCAGAGTTGTGTTTCGCCATGTGAGTAGGGTTACCAGGTCCATCCTTCCTCCCTCATTCCTACTCATCATCTAAATCGCCAAAACTCTTATCCCCAAAACCCCGCACTTGCACATGTAACTTTGGTTTTGCGTCCATGAGCTGTGCTGATTCATGCTTACGATCAGCTAATAGCCGACTCGATAGCCGCCGTACCACATAAAAAACGGGCACACTATTATAGCAGCGGTAAGACCCATAGTTGCCCAAAGTCGCAATGGCGTCTTCACCTTCCGCCTGACGCAGGTGCTTACCGGGCATGAAAGCTTAGGTAGGTTCCTATTTCGGACTCGGCGATAGGAAACGCCCGAGCGTCGTCATTGTGAGGACCACACAAAGGATACGGTAGAGCATGCAAACGCGGTATGTCCTGCTGGTTGAGCACCGTCGTGGTCTTAGGGAATCGCTTGGCGGTGTGAATCTACACTTGCTTTGTGTGTACTGGAGTACAGACCCTCTACATTAATCCCCAAATCACTAGTATTGCATTTGTAAGTCACTGGTGCTGCAGATATTCATAGGCTGCGCCGATTGCTTACCCGATCTGAATGACCAGTCTGCTCACTGGCCATCTTAAAACATAAAATAGTCTCCTTGCTCAATAAAGGCAATTTCAAAATCGACCATGTTTTCTTTGATATAACTTAATAGTTTAAGATTATGGTATATTATAATGTGCCTTAAAAAGACACATAACCTTCAATGGCTTGAAACGACACATAACTTTTAGGTGTGGGAGAGCCAAGCTTCGGCACGAATGGGTCGGCTCGACCGGAGTGATACCACGGCCTCACAGAAAACCGGCGTGAAATAACCACAGGGTTGTGTTTCGCCGCGTGAGTGGGGTTACCGGAGGCCCAATCATTCCCCTGCCCCAATCCCTAAATCTCCAAATCCCTAATCCCTCAAAGGACGGCAACGCTATTGTAACTCCTCCGTTGCGAGTGTCCATGGGAGGAGCTGATTGCTTACCATCAGGTAATCCGCCGTCTGCTCGTTAGCCTATGTATTACATAAAAAGAAAAATAAATGGCACATATCTGGCGTCATGGAATTTTTTCATCTATTGTGTTCAAGCAAAACAAACTAACTACCTATATGTAGTTTATTTTTATTTCATTATTAATATTTCCTTTCTTTATGTACAGCTAATAAAGAATGATAAAATTGTAGAAAAATATGTATTAACAATTTTATCTCATGTCAAGAAAAGTTGTCTTAGAATATGGTAGTTTCCAACTAGTCAAATTGAATACTATCTATATATAATATAATATTTTATCCAAATGTCAAAAACAATACTTTTATATGAAATTTGTATGAAAAACTGAGTTATGATGTCATTGTTTTTTCGCGTCAAATAGCTTACTTTTTCTTAAAAATTATCTAAAATTCAGTGTATTGATTGATTGATGAATAAAAGTACTGTTATATTTCAATATTTTATTGTATTGATTCAAATTGAGTCAAATTGATTTATTTTTGACCTAGGAAACTACCCAATTTTAACCAATTTTGCCAAAGTCTAATAAAAACTGGATTTTACTCTTTACAGAATGTTAGATTGGCAACAGTTGAATTTTTTTGAGTTACTAAAGGATTCTCTCTTCTTCTTCTTTTTTTGTGAGGGGAAAATCATCCATTGACTTCTCCCACTCAGCAGCAAGAAGGATGGTCAGACTCTTACTGACTAAAACCCCACATTCCCTCTCCTGTTTCTAAGCACAGGCTAACATGCCTTATTGCCCGCAACCCAAGTCTAGACTTGTATGTTATTAACACACCCATGGCAGTGGAAAAATCCAGAAGATGGCAATTTCTTTTTATAAAAAAAAACATCTAAATAAATAAATCCTGTTTGATGAAGCTATGATAGAAGGACTATGAAATAGAGTGTATGACAAGAAGTATACATATAAGTAATAATATTATTGTTATTTAAATTATTGCTATATTAATTCATAGTCACTTTACAGATTCCCCATATTCGATACATTATTTTTAATTGTGATTAAAGAAGATTATTTGATGTTCAAAGTTGGTAACTGGCAGGTAATAACAAAACAAATGGCAAAATTTCTTATAAGAGGCCAAGATTCAATTGTTATCGCAGAGAATAGGGATTATTTCTTAATAGTTACCGTATTTAGCATAGTGGCTTTTTAGTATTATAATACCCCTAAATAAAAACTTATAAGCTTAGCTAATTACCTAAATTCTTTTTTTTATCACACAAAAAGAACGATCCGACATCTATTTTTAAAAACAACCATAAACAATGTTTATCAAAAAGATTGCGATCAACTTCGAAAACTTGTAAACAACTCTAAACTAGATTTACAAATAAGGCTAACAAGACCAAAACTAAATCGCCTAAATATAAAAGAGATTAGTCATCACGGGTACCAGGCTAACAGAAATGATTAGGAGACCTTCAAGCCAATTAGAATACAAAGCATACTCACAAATAATACGTGATTCCAATCCTTCGCGAACGATAGCAATATCGTCCAATATTTCTCACTAAACCATAGCTCGCCACACAAAAAACATTGTTCCGTTAATAAAATTGAGCAACTATTAACCGTATCACTTTCTTCAAAGTTTGTTTTGCAAAAATGAGCGTTAAAAACAACAATTTTATTAAAAATACAACGACGTTGCTCTGTGAAGTCTGTGAGTTTTGTACAAAAATTACTAATTTGACATTTGACGTAAAGACCGTAAACCACCATTCAATCGTTCAAAAGTTCTTCAGTAAAGTATGAATGGAGGGAAATGAATATTCATCTTTTGTATTGCTTTTTCTTTTAACTGTAAGCTTTAGACAAAGACAAATATATTAATGCTGCTTTACTATCTGGAACGTAATAATTCTTTACACGCAGTTGGGTATTTGATATTTTTTTTAAAAGTATTTTATTATATTCTCAGGACACTAAAGATACGTTTAATAATTGTTTATTTCATTTTTAAAGTTAAATTCTAACAAAAACAGTCATTTTAAATAATACGATTCAAAATTCCCGCCAAAACAGCAAGTCACTTGACGTACAAGTGACAAATTAGGCTGTTACGTCATGATTCAATAAACAGTGAAGTGAATGATTTATGATCCTGTGAAAGCTGTATTTCTTGAAATCTCGAAGAAATGGCTTCGTCATCATACAAACTTTGCACAGTTCCTTGCTGTACAAGTACAACAATAAAATATCCCAATAAATTATTTATTCATGTGCCACAACCGGGGCCTCTTCGTAAAAAGTGGCTGCAATTAGCACGACGCGATCCGTCCACTGTATCACCTAAATCTTCAATTTACTTTTGCGAGGACCATTTTGATGTGAGTATTATTCATTTATTTAGTCGTCAAATACTAGTATTTTAGTGCTTTAAAATAAAATTACTTGTGAGGTTAGTATTTTCCATATAAATAATACTTGTTTGTTTTATTACAGCTACCAAATGACATGGAAAATTACATGGAGTACCATATTATGGGCTCTGTCTCAGCAATAAGAATGAAACCATCTTGTGTACCCACTAAATTTGAATGTCAACCTGATCGTTTAAAAAGAACAGCTACAACTATGCCTCGGTCTGCAGTAATAAAAAGGCAGCGTGCATCATTAATAGAAGAGATACTTGCACAAGGAACTTGTTCACCCTCCACTAGCAGCATAGAATTACAGCATAGTAACATAGAAACTGCAGGTAAGTTTTTTTTTTTATGTAATAGCTCGGCAAACGAGCAGACGGATTACCTGATGGTAAGCAATCAGCGCCGCCCATGGACACTCGCAACGGAGGAGTTACGAGTGCGTTGCCGACCTTTTAGGGATTAGGGATTTGGAGATTTAGGGATTGGGGAAGGGGAAGGATTGGGCCTCCGGTAACCTCACTCACACGGCGAAACACAACGCAGAGGTTATTTCACGCCGGTTTTCTGTGAGGCCGTGGTATCACTCTGGTCGAGCTGACCCATTTGTGCCGAAGCATGGCTCTCCCACACTTAAAAGTTAAAGTTTAAATTGTAAAGCGATACTATTTGTGTACAACTAGTATAGTATAAAACAAAGTCGCTTCCCGGTGTCTGTATGTGTGTAAATATGCTTAGATCTTTTTAGACCACACAACGGATTTTGATGCCATTTATAGAGCAATACTTGAGCAATGTTTTGGTATATATGTGTACCCCGGGCATAGCCGGGGCAAGTCGCTAGTCTATGCTATAAGTAGAAGCCAAAGGGAGAATTATGTTTGTTGTTTTTCAACCCCCAAGGCAAAAACAACAGGGTTTTACAAGTTTGATGTGTGTGAAAAAATTAATTATTAAATTTGGACCAGTATTTTCTGAGATTAGCGCGTTCAAACAAACTCTTCAGCTTTATAATATTAGTATAGATAACATCCATTAAATAGTGGAGAAATTTCATTTCAATTAAAAGGGTCGTTTTTTAGTTGATATTTTTATTACCTACCTACTTAATTTTTTTTTTTTTATAAAAACATAGCCCCACACTTGGATTTTCTCCTGTGTCGTGGGTGCGCTTACAAACATACAATTTCACATACACATCACACACAGACTCGGAACAACAATTTGTGGATCATACAAAGAGTTGTTCCGTGCGGGAATCGAACCCACGACACGTTGAACGGCAGCCAGTTGCCCAGACACCGCACCAACCGTGCAGTCTAAATTGGTGAATGAACAGTACATAAATCTATTTTCACTTTTCAGATAATATTGTTGATCAGCCACAAGAAGCACTACGGGCCTCAATAAGCAATAGTTCTGTGGAATCCAACAATCAACAATCTATATTAGGTATTTTTACAATATCATATATTTTTGTATTTACTGATTGCTTTTTCATTTGTATTTCGAGTCAAATTTATTCCGATTATGGCTATACCTTAAACTTGAATGTAGTTCGGCCAAGAAACTGAAGAAAGACCAGGGGGTATTTAGTTAGTAAGAGTTTAAAAATTGTAAAATCTTTTTGCAATTTTTATCACTATCTAATATATATTTAAAAAAATCAATGCAACTTTTCGTTATAATGTATAATAACTCAACAATGCCTTTACCGATTTCGCTAATTTTAGTCTTCAATTATTTGTAGACTTCCAAAAAAGGTTTGTATGTAGAGAAAATAAGCAGTAGCCATTGTAAAATTGACATACTTATATATAATTTTCTTTTTTGTGTGTATGTTTTCATGTATAAAGTCCAGTGTAATATCCCATATGATGTTTACAGAGTCGGAAAATACTCAAAATAAAGAAGCTATGGAGCCATTAATGAAATTCTGCGTCTGTTGTCTTGTTCAAGAAGTTCCTTTTATACATTTATCGACATGTTCACATTCTGAATTTTTAAATAATTTCATGAAGCCAGCGGTAAGTGGAAAACTGTTTATACATATAAACCGCAAGCGAACGCCGGCGTCCGCGCCTGTTGTCTCACTATTGTGTTTACAATTACTACGATTCAAAGGTTAATCGACTTCAAAAGAGGAGTGTTATTTTCTAATACCATAAACATACCTATATGTTTTTTTTATTTAGTTATGGGCAAGCGTTTGGCCATTTTGGTAGTCGTGGTGGCCCAGAAGTTAAACCGCCCGCTTCTCATGCATGAGGGTGTGGGTTCGAAACCTGGCAAGCACCAATGTGACTTTTTCCGAGTTATATGTACTTTCTATGATTATTTAGACACCACTGACATACGGTGAAGGTAAACATCGTGAGGAAACCTGGACTTGTAATTTCTAATTATAAGTTTGAAATCGCTAACCCGCATTGAGCAAGCGTGGTGATTAATGCTCTAACCTTCTCCGTATGAGAAGAGGCCTTTGCTCAGCAGTGGGCATTCATAGGCTGATGATGATGATGATGATGATGAAGCGTTTGGCCGCTAACACGCCTGTTGGTTAGCGATGATGCGACCTACGATGGAGCACGTCTACCCATAAGCAACCTATTCAGTTGAGACTTCCTTGTTTTCAAGAATAGCTGACTTTATTACAGACTGCCTGTTTTCATATTTTAATTTAATTTTTTTTTACTGCCTTATTGCTGCCAAGCAAAAATGTAATTGATAAGCTATGTTTTTTTGGTCAAATCCCGGATTGAACAAATAAGTCATATGACTTAATTTCAATTCTACAGTTACCACAATCTATTTTTTTTTCAGATAAAATCAAGCAGCCAAGTGGTTTGTTACAAATGCCATAGTATTTTGAAAAAAATAAAATTATTTACACTACAAGTGAAAAATAGCTTCAAGCATATTACTGAGGTAACTCATTAATTTCAACTTGGCCACAATTCTTTATTATATTCGATACAGTCTTATCCTAATCTTAATCCTAATTCTACTATCCCACTCATCCTACTATCCTACTAATATTTTAAATGTAAATCCTACTGTTCTACTATCCTACTAATATTTTGAATGTAAATCCTACTATTCTACTATCCCGCTAATCCTACTATCCTACTAATATTTTAAATGCGAATCCTACTATCCTACTAATATTTTAAATGTGAATCCAACTATTCTAGCTACTATACATACTATTCACTACTATGCTATAGCTCTCGCGCGGTTTCACCCGCTTCTCGGCGAAGCGTTGTAAGTAAGCCATTTGATCGTAAGTGATGTTTTATAGCCTATAGTACTCAGGAACATTGTAGCTATCTACCAGTGAAAGAATTTTGACAATCCGACCAGCGGTTCCAAAAATTACCCCCTACAAACAAAATTACAAATTCAAATATAAAATTACTCTTTATAAAATTGATGAAGATGAATTCTTCAAACATAAATAAATCTTTTGTTTCAGGAGAGCCACATTGAAATTTCCAATCAAAAGAATGGAAATCTAAAAATGCAAAAACTGAAAAATATTGATATACCACAGACAAGTATAGACTCGGATATAAATAAAACCATAGACAGCAAAGAGATTACAAATCAAACTCCAGAAATGATAATCAAACCAAAGAGTTTGAAAGCATATGAAAGAAAAATTAAAAATATAGGAAATGCATTGAAAATTATTGAAAGCAATCAAAATAGTGCGTGTATCAATATTTTGGCTACATCATTGAACAGTTTATCAAATAGTTTGTTAAATAAAAGTATTGATCTCAATAATATATCTGTTTTAAATAGTATAGTCAGTAATGCCAATGTTGGAAGTAGAAATACAGAAAATATAATATTGAAAACAGAAAACTTAATGGAGGTAGATAAGAAAACAATTGATATGGTTGATCATGTATTAGGTGCTGAAGGTAAATTTGGTATTAAAAAAAATATATTTGTTGACAAAATTGATAAAGAATTGGAAATTCCTAGTAAGTCTACTACTAAGAAGAAAGTTGATACTTATAGAGGTGGTAAGTTTGACCCTGTATTTTAATTCAACCTTTTTAACCCCCGACGCAAAAAGAGGGGTGTTATAAGTTTGACGTGTCTGTCTGTCTGTGGCATCCTGGAGCCTGAAAGGGTGAAGCGATTTTAATTTAGTTTTTTTTTTGTTTGTATTAAAGGTGACTTATGTGCGAGTGTTCTTAGACATGTTTGACGAAAATCGGTTGAGCCGTTTAGAAGTTATGGGGGGGGGGGGAGGTAAGTGGGGAAGCGTAACCGAAGGTCTGCAAATATACTCGAGTGGGGTCTCAAATGAAAGCGCACTGAAAGGGAATGTTGACGACTTAGCGAGACAAAACGATTTTAATTAATGAAAGTATAAAATAAAAAAATAAATTAGACCCCCGACAGAATAGAAATAGGTATGTAGTTGACAATAAAATGTTTGGATCGGTCCTCCAACGCCACGTTTTCTTTTACTTCAATTTAGAAAACCCCCGACAGGAAATCTAGTATTTCTTTAAAATTAATTAAAAGAAAACGTTGTGACCGATCCATAGCCTCGCACGCAAGTCACCTTCATACAAAAACAAACTAAATTGAAATCGCTCCACCCGTTCAGGCTCCAGGATGCCACAGACAGACAGACACACAGACAGACAGACACGTCAAACTTATTACACCCCTCTTTTTGCGTCGGGTGTTAAAAATAGCCGAAAATGACTATGTTTAGTAAAGAAGTACTATAACCTTTTTTTTCAGTATCAATATATTCGATGAGATCGAGAATTAAAACTGTAAGTTTGTCAAATGAAGAATTGATTGAAGAACGATCTAAGATGGCGGCCAGTCAGACATATATGAAGTCTTTATATAAATGTGAAGCTTGCCTCCTAGGTTTTAATTATGAAGAGAATTTACAAGATCACGTCAAACGCAAACATTTTGATGTAAGTACTTTTCTATAATAATATTATAAAGACGTAAAATTTGTAAGTTTGTATGTGGGGGGTGATCTTTGGAACCGCTGGTCGGATTGCCAAAATTCTTTCACTGATAGATATCTACAATGTTCCTGAGTGCTATAGGCTATAAAACATTACGCTACGATTAAGTAGAGCCGAGCAGCGGGTGAAACCGCGCGAGAGTAGCTAGTAATATTATAAAGAGGTATAATTTGTAAGCTTGTAACATGTAGGCAGTAATCTTTGGAACCGCTGGTCGGATTGCCAAAATTCTTTCACTGATAGATAGCTACAATGTTCCTGAGTGCTATAGGCTATAAAACATTACGCTACGATATAGTAGAGCCGAGCAGCGGGTGAAACCGCGTGAGAGTAGCTAGTAATATTATAAAGAGGTATGTAAGTTTGTAACATGTAGAGGATAATGTTTGGAACAGCTGGTCGGATTACCAAAAGTCTTTATCTTATAGATAGCTACAATGTTCCTGAGTGCTAAACGCTTTAAATTATATTAATTTGTCATATAAGGTCGGCAAACGAGCAGGCGAATTAACTGACGGTAAGCAATCAGCGCCGCCCATGGACACTCATAGTACCAAAGGGATCAGTTGCATCAAGGAATTCTCACTCAGAGTGGGAGAAGAAATTTAGGGATTCTCCACCCCTCAAAAAAAAGCTATCCGTTTCAAAAAAATTTATTTTTGAAACGGATTCTATCGATTAAATCTATATAATATAAGTATGAATTTTTTTCATACATATGAAAAGAAAATTACCTTGGTCGGTCCTACCGTTTCAGTTATTTAGTTTTTTGTTTCAGAAAGACAGCGGCCTAAAATGCGATGTTTGTCAACAGACATTGAACCCAGGAGCTAGTTATAACGATCATATGTCGAATCACTACACCAGGTAGGAAATCGTGTTTAAATTACTTACGTAACACTCTTTGCCGAGATGGCCCGTCTAGTTTCAAGTTACACTAGGGCTTATATTTTTTACACGACTGCCCAAAAATGGAGTGTTATGCTTTTAGGGTTCATGTATGTATGTAGGTATGTGGTTTTCCTTATTCCACTGGAACTTCTTAACGTCTGGGTAGAATTGTTTATGAGATAAGTCGACAAACGTGCAGACAGATTGCCTCATGGTAAGCAATCGGCGTCGCCCATAGACATCCGCAACGGAGGAGTTACGAGTGCGTTGCTGGCCTTCGCAACACCAAAGGATTTATGATTGCGTTGCAGGCCTTTTGGGGATAAGTGTTTCGGATATTTAAGGATTGAGAAGGGATTGGGGGGGGGGGGGGCTTTAGGCGTTAAGAAAAGACAGACAGACAGAGTTACTTTCGCATTTATAATATTAGTTTGGATTACACACAGAGTTTTTTGGTGAATTGACGGGATTTGAACTCGCGACACGTTCACAGACACCACTGACATACGGTGAAGGAAAACATCGTGAGGAAACCTGGACTTATAATTTCTAATTATAAGTTTGAAATCGCCAATCCGACTTGAGCAAGCGTGGTGATTAATGCTCAAACCTTCTCCGTGTGAGAAGTGGTCTTTTGCTCAGCAGTGGGCACTTATAGGTTGATGATGATTATAATGATTTTATCTTATTTTCAGATATGAATGTCTCACCTGTCGACATAGATTCCCGTCTGTGGACGCAACAATAGTCCACTACAGAAGGAAACATATACAGTCAACAAAATATAAATGTCCGTATTGTTTGTTTAATATGATGTAAGTGCTTTATAAATAAATACTCGATGTATCTGATACGTTTATAATACGGTAATTTCCAACTAGTAAAATTCAATACTTTTATTCAAATGTCAAAAACGATACTTTTCTATAAAATTGGTATGAAAAACTGTCATAGTATTTTTGCTTCAAATAGCTTACTTATTGCTTAATAATTAGCTAAAAAATATCTAAAACTAAGTGTATCGATCGTTCAATGAATAAAAGTATAGTTATCTTTCAATACTTTATTGTATTGAAACGTCGAATTATTTATTTTTGACCTAGGAAACTACCCAATTTGTTTTATCAGAACCGCTAAGAAGTCTGTGTACAGTGCGGCCCACTTATCTTGGCGAGTTTGAAGTTAGCCGATTAGTTGCGCAGTACACAATTTTTAACCGACTTCAAAAAAGGAGGAGGTTCTCAATTCGACGAGTATTTTTTTTTTTTTTTTTTTTTTTTATGTATGTACACCGATTACTCGAAGACGCCTGGACCGATTTGCAAAATTCTTTTTTTATTCGATAGGGTATACTTGCCATTTGGTCCCATTGTCATGAGGTCAGGATCTGATGATGGAATCCTGGAGAAACCGAGGGGAACTTTCGAAAATTGTAGGGGCGAGTAGTGTTTTTGTATGATGTTTAAGTAGGCCTTTATCAACACTACAACTTGACGAAGATCGAAGTCGACCAGATGTTGGAGCTGGAAGACAGTCGAGGGATCTCCTTGACTATTTGAAGTAGTTGCCTTGTGTTTGGGCTTGAATGATTCGTATTGACGAGCACTTTGCAGCAGGCTTGGTTGTAACTGTCATTAAGGGTCTGATGATGAGAACGAAGGACAGCTCAAGGAACTCCTGAACGGTTTACAGTAACTACTTCGTGTTTGAACTTAATTCATTTATATTGATGAAAACTTTGTACCTGTATGTATTATAACAACTGAAGGTCTGCAGTTTACCTGATGATGGAGACCATGGACCGTCGAGGGAATTCCGGATGGAACCGAGAGACAGTCGAGAGAACTCCTCAACGATTCATAGCAGCTTCCTTGTGTTTGAACTTAATTAATTCGTTTTGATAAGAACTTTACATCTAGATGGATTGTGACTGTCATCAGGGATCAGATGATAAAGACGAAGGACAGTCTAGGGAACTCCTCAACGGTTTACAGTAGCTACTTCGTGTTTGGACTTAATTTATATTGTTAAGAACTTTCCTAGAGAGATGGCCTGTGTTCCAGTAGTGGGAACATTAAAATGGCTGATGATGATGATGATGATGATGATGAGAACTTTCCCGTTTCTTGAGATCTATATTTTTTTATCGAGCGGCTCCTTTCGTAGGCCTAGGTACACAAAGCTACTTAAAAAGTATATACTATTCAATATGTTAATTTATATTTAAAATGTTACTGTAGTTTACAGAAGAACTTGTAACAGATACTAAAAAGTAAAAAATAAAAAAAACTACGTTTAAAAAAACCGACTTCAAAAACAAAAAAGTGTCAAATAAGTAATTAAAATTGATATTTTAATACCACTCTTACGTACGCGAAGCTAATACTTTTAATATTAATAATAAAACACTATCAATTCTATGTGCTACCTATTCATAGGTTTGAAGTCGGTGCCAAGCCTAATACATAATATAATAAGCATGATACATGAGTACCTACACTCGCCGGGCGCGTGTGAATTTATTTGTTAGGATTTAAGAAATGTAGTACCGATTTTCTAACTTGATGGCGTTAGCGTAGAATCAGAAGTCTATATGGTTGCGTTACCGGCGAAACTGTATATAACTTAGAAAGATACATATTTGGATGAATTATGAAAGTTTTCTCGTACTTGGTTGTTAAAAGTAGTAGTAGATAGCTGCGTTGTTAGTTGTGGAAATTTCGTCTTTCAGCAATTAAACAGTCTTAATTCTCATTTTGTTTTATTCTGTTTAGGGCTTGGCACCGACTTCAAACCTATGAATAGGTAGCACATAGAATTGATAGTGTTTTATTATTAATATTAAAAGTATTAGCTTCGCGTACGTAAGAGTGGTATTAAAATATCAATTTTAATTACTTATTTGACACTTTTTTGTTTTTGAAGTCGGTTTTTTTAAACGTAGTTTTTTTTTGTTCCTAAAATATCCATTGCGCAGACAAACGGCTAACTTCAGACTCGCCAAGATACGTCGGCCGCATTGTACTCCTTGTCGGTTCTGATAAAACAAATTGGGTAGTTTCCTAGGTCAAAAATAAATTAATTCGACGTTTCAATACAATAAAATATTGAAAAATAACTATACTTTTATTCATCGATCTGTCGATACACTAAGTTTTAGATATTTTGACTGAATATCGTAATCTGGGTGTCGTCAAGGCCCGAGTGAATAGGTTGCTTATGGGTCTAGGCATCATTTGCTGGTTTTCAACGTTCCAAACAAAAAAAAAAAATTATAATAAATCACACTTTAAACTCTACTAAATAGACAGTAATTAAAACGCATTAAAAATGTATTTGTATTCCTTTTTATTTTATTTACAGATCGCACCGTCACATGAAGTCGGGGTCGGCATTGAAACAGAAGAAAACCTTTAAATGTGTGCGCTGTAAAAAGGTAATAACTTAAGTGTAGGTGAGCTATATTTTGACACTAATTACCCGGCTCGACCGGAGTGATATCACGGCCTCACAGAAAACTGGCGAAAAGTAATACTTTTCGTTGTGTTTCGTCGTGTGAATGAGGTTTCCAAACGCTTGATACCTACGTCTACTACGACCTACGACTTAGCGACTTTTAAAGCAAGAGTCAATAGGCATTTTTTGAATTTGCGTGTTCCACCTTAGACCCGCACTGCTTTCCATGAGGCGTGTTAGAAGTCAAACGCACTCAAATAAATAACAAAAAAACTCTCGCCGGAGAAAAGCAGCTCGGCTCCATTTGATCGTAGCGTGATGTTTTATGGCCTTTAGCACTCAGGAACATTGTAGCTATCTATCGGGGAAAGAATTTTGGAAATTCAATTACAGCGGTTCCAAAGATTACCTACCCCCTACATACAAACTTACAAATTTTACCATGTTTAAAAATTAATCTCTTATGTGAATGATGATGACTTTGAACCTTCTGTGAATTATGAATAGAAGAATGTGTATTTCATAAAATGCTTATCCTACTTTTTGTGGGGGGAAAATCATTAAATGACTTCTCTTGCCCAGGGTATGAGGGTTAGGCAAGAGAGAGTGTCAGACTCTTACTGACTAAAACACCCAGTTCCTTCTCCTGCTGTAAGCCGAGGCCGCGGTACCCTCTTGAGCTTTACCGACTTTATTCTACTAAGTATACTATATTTCACCACAGACGGGGCCCTATAGGGCTAATGTTCAGCCGGGGTTGCGGGGTAAGCGCAATGAGTCACCGCGACCTCGGCCTAGAGCAGGAGAAGGAACGGGGGGGTTTTAGTCAGTAAGTCTGACACTCTCTCTCGCCTAACCCTGGGCGGGAGAAATCATTGGATGATTTTCCGCTGACAAAAAAGTATACTATATTTCTATGTTTTTTTTCATTTCAGAATTGGAAAAGCGTCGGTTTGAATTTGGCGGAGAATATTTTGCAACGTGGTGGCGCCCCTGTCGAAGAATGCTAATTTAGTTAGGTACCTCTGTGTATTATGTAGTTCTACTAATTTAATAAATAACGTGAAAAAATATGAGTGTTGTTTTATTTACTTTTTTATCCTTTATATAAAATTTTCCGGTTCGAACGGGTCGGCTTGACCGGAGTGATACCACGGCTTCACAGAAATTCGGCGTGAAACAACCACAGCCTTGTTTCGCCGTGTGAGTGAGGGTACCGGAGGACCAATCCTTCCCCACCCCCAATCCCTCCCCAATCCCTAATACAAATCTCTAATCCCTAAAAGGTCGGCAACGCACTCGTAACTCCTCCGTTGTTGCGGGTGTGGGCGGCGCTGATTGCTTACCATCATCATCAGCCTATAAGTGCCTACTGTTGAGCAAAGGCCTCTTCTCATAGGGAGAAGGTTAGAGCTTGACGCCTTGCCCAATACGCTTGCTCAATGCAGGTTGGCGATTTCAAACTTATAATTAGAAATTATAAGTCCAGGGTTCCTCACGATGATTACCTTCGCCGTATATCAGTGGTGTCTAAATAATCATAGAAAGTACATACAACTCGGAAAAAGTCACATTGGTACTTGCCAGGTCTCAAATCCGCACCCTCGTGCATGTGAAGCGGGCAGCTTAACCTACGGGCCACCACGGCTGCAATTTTAGATTGCAGATTGCTTACCATCAGGTAATAAATACGTCTGCTCGTTTGCCGAGCTATCACACGACAAAAAATGTTTAATAACATTGATTAAACAGTGGAGAAACTTAGTTATAATACCTACCTACTTAGGTACCTAAGTATTACATAGTATATTGATATACCTAATATTAAAATATATTTTTTGTATAGACAATATCGTTCGATTTACAACATAAGATAATATGTAGATGATATCAAAATACAACTTATTAAAGTATTATACCATCTTATATTGCTTAAAAAGATTAAAAAAAAAATGTAGATAGGACTTCGTATCATACTTAGATGTCGTGTTTTATTTGTTACCTACTTGCTTCTGCCACCGGCTCCGACGCGATATCAAGGTAAAAAATTTGAGGAGTGGCTTGAGAGACGCCACGGCGTCCTCACCTTCCGCCTGACGCAGGTGCTTACCGGGCACGGCAGCTTCGGTAGGTTCCTGTTTCGGATCCAGCGGGAGGAAACGCCCGAGTGTCGTCATTGTGAGGACCACCTAGAGGATACGGTGGAGCATACGGTAGCGGTATGCCCTGGGCTGAGCACCGCCGTATCGCGGCGGCGACCTCGCGCGCCCGGCCTTAGTCGAGGCCATGGTGGGGAGTGAGAGGAACTGGGACGCCGTCTCCTCCTTTTGTGAAGCAGTCATGCTTGCAAAGACAGAGGCGGCCCGCGTGAGGGAGCAATCCTCCTCCTCAGGCCCCAGCAGCCGCAACTGGCGACACTACGGGCGTCGGGGATCAAGGGAAGTTTGACGTTTGTCAGGGGAAAATCATCAAATGACTTCTCCCGCCCAGGGCCGGGCGGGAGAGTGTCAGACTCTAACTGACTAAACCCCCCCCCCCCGTCCCTTCTCCTATTTTGGGCCGAGGTAGCTGTGCCACATTGCGCTTACCCCCCAACCCCGGCTGAACATTAGCCCTACAGGGCTCCGTCTGTAGTGGTCTATGGCTCTGAGGCGCGCGCGGAACGCTACGCGCCGTACAATCGGGCCTGGTTCTGGTCGGGCGGAGTACTTACGGTGGCCGGAGATCTGTTCTTGATCCCCGACGCCCGGAGTGTTGTCCACTGCGGAGGCTGGGGCGTAAGGAAGAGGAGAGCACCAAGCGGTCCGGCTCCTTCTTTGCATAACTGCATCACAGAAAGAGGAGACGGCTTCCCAGTTCCTCTCGCTTCGCACCATAGCCTCGACTAAGGCCGGGCGCGAGAGATCGCCGCCCCAATTAGGTACTTATTTTAGGACACGAGCTGTGCCGTGCTCAGCCCAAGCAGGGCACACCGCCACCGTATGCTCCACCGTGTCCTCTGCGGCACCTCAACCTTTGGCCTCTTATAATCAGAGGAATATAAGTTTGTTACTGATATTTAAAAAGGTCACTAACACGGCGTGTTAAAACGCTAGGTATCAGTCTGGACAGACTGGTATCCCTTGAGGCCGGCTTGTATCAGTCTCATTGAGTCGGCACAGTATCGTAGGTACCTACCGAACAAATGAACGCAGGCTTGGCTAGCTCACGTTAAAAACAGTTGTAGCTGTGGAGTTTTATTTATTTCTGTTAGTAAGTACTTATAATAAAATAGTTTTAATAGCTTTGATCGTCAAATAGTGACATTTCACAACAAATATGTTGTTGCTGTGTTATTTATAACCTACAAAAACATCTGTAAAAATAGTAGGTAAGTACCTAGTCAGTGAAAATAACTGGATTCTACCTAACTTCAGATCTGTTTAATTACTCATTGACGTAAAGTAAGCATTGTTATCAATTCAATAATAATCTGTACGCGTTAGTTCAGTGACGCCCTTGACGGGGCAGTGAACGAACGTGTTATAATATTATTTTCATATTTTTTCTCGAAACTATTTAAGAAATAATAATGCAAGAATTCAAACCTACAGGTACGAGTGCCTTTTTCTTATTTTCAAAGTTTTTAAACCCATCTTTGTTGTTATCTTCCTGTCGTTGTTTTTAATCTGTGATTATTTTCAATTTGGCGTTTAGTTCGATGCGTTTATTAAGTAATTTATTAATGTGTTAGTTGATACAAGTTGTTTTAAATTATTATTAAATACGATACTACTACTACGCGATAAGTCGCGGTTTCGATTCCTGGACGTGGTAACTACAGTAAAATTGTTTCGAGTATAGTTATATATACATTATACATTATATAATGTATACGTATACCTACTACTACCAAGTAAGTATAATGTAATGTGTAGTTGAGTAATTGGAGCATAAACAGAGGATTTCCAATGTCCTTAACCTCGTAGGGATTATAAAAGAAATGGTAGTCAATTAATTTTCGACGTTGGCAACAATTGATCAACCCGGTGGTGAACTTATGGTTTCTACTGAATCAAACTTTATTTTTTGGAGAGGTGGGAGGGGGGGGGGCAGGCTCTTACGCTTCATTTACATTTAGCTGAAGTGAGCAGAGACGTGGACAGGACGATTATGTAAACTTATACTTCTCATGGCACTGCTAAAGACACTCGCGCTTCCCAAAAAAGCGGTTTTTATTGGGGTCTTCAAGGAACCGGCAGCGCGAGCGGTAGGATGTGTTTACATTCTGCTCAATCGCTCAGAAAGACACAGCGCGTACTCTGCCATTACCGGAACTTGAAAGCGAAGAGAGAGCAAGGGCAATGTAAACACATAAGTATCCCTCGATCCTGCCACAGCCGTATTTAGGGAAATATTGCCGGCAGCGCGAAAAGTAGGTAATATTAGTATTAATAATTAAAAACCCACGCCGTTCCTTACGCGGTATCCTGCGTGAGCGACGAACTCGACGCGACGCGACGCTGCGAACGCGACAAACGCGATCAACTCAACGGCATACCCTACATGTAGCCTATATGAATGAGAGTCTGCCGCGAGACGCGACGTAAAGCGCACTTGTTTTGAGGGTGACCAGATGCGACAACACGAACTAACAATTTGGTGTTTCTTGTAAATGTGTTTCTTTGTAAAAATTTTGTTTTCTTTCTGTGCTTTTTACGATATATTTTTAAAAGTCTGTATTTTAAATATGAGCATTCAAGCAAAATTGTACTGTACTTCTCCATGATTCGAGAAGTAATGACCAAAATTACGTAGGACATGGTGTCGCGTATAGAATCGCGTCGCATTGCGTCGCGCCGTGTTGCGTCGCGTTCGTCGCTCACTCAGGGCACCCGGTTATTCTATTCCGGTCTGGGATCGCCGTACATAACCTAACGCCCTTTATGAAACGTTAGATCTACTCTTCTTCTTTGGAGAATTTTCTTATATTGTAAACAGTCGGCGCCGTCCAAAGACACTCTAGTATTAAAGGAATTAACTAGGTTATAGTGCGTTGCCAGCAATTTGTGTTTTATTAGGGATCTAAGGTTATGGGATTTGAGGATTAAGGCTAGAATTGGGCCCTTAGGTAACCTCACAGACACGGCAAAACACGGTTTTCTGTGAGGGCGCCTTGGTATCACTCCGGTCGAGTCGATTGAAGTTCCGAATCATGACTCTTCCACAAGATTCATGTTATACCTACTTATTTATTTTCTGCATCTAATTAATTATATTTACTATCCGCAGCCACATAATCGCGTGTTTTGCTATCTCTATTCACATTTATTGACAGTTTAACACAAAGGTCTCATATATTATTTATCATATTTATTTGAGACGAGCTGTAGCCCGCGACTTTATCCGCGTAAAATTTGTTTATCACTATCGCGTGGGAAAACTTAGAAAGTAAGTAAGTAGCCAAAGTTACTCCTTATGACATCACCTACTAATACATGTCCGCTCAAAATCGGTGTAGCCATTCCTAAGCTTAGCCAGAACCGACATATAGACAGACAAACAAAACAAAACTGTAAAAAGCGTTTTGTATTTACATATCTACAAATATAAATACATGTAGCAAAAGTCGGTTATTTCAATATTTCAAACAATCTAATATTATTGTTAGCTAGAGACCCGCACCGGCACAATGCTGATAATTAATTTCCCCACTATTTAATCAACGTTATTTAATATGTGATGGTGAATCTTGTTCGAGTTCGAAGTGAGCGTCGAAGTGACGGGGAAATAAAATTTTAGAATGCCTCTTTTAACGTCATCTCATACTTTATCTATCAAAATGTTGCTGTCAATTTAGTTCAACTCGCAAGTGTAGCGCTAGTGTACTACTACTCACAGCGGATTCAGATTCGAAGTTTAGAATGAAGTCTTACAGAATCACACTACTGACCTACCTCTTCAATCACTCTTTCTATTAAAATAACCTCATACCGGATCGCTGGTATAAAGATATAAGATATAGAATAGATAGACTTACGACTCCATATTTCATTTTCACCAGAACACCAGCATGTTCGATACAACCCCCTCAAAGATGAATGGGTTCTCGTCTCTCCGCATCGCTGCCTTCGACCCTGGAGCGGGCAGACGGAAGCAGCTCCTGAGGACCAACCACCAGACCCATTAAACCCCCTCCTGCCTGGTGCTACGAGGTCCAGTGGGCAGGTAAGGGTTTTCGCTTAATAGACGGAAGAAGCGGATTACCGATTGAATGGTAAGCAGTTAGCGCCGTGAATGGACATTCGCAATGCCAATGGAGTTTTTGTTTATGTGACAAAACGGCATGCAAGACATATTACGTAATGGTAGGCAATCAGCAAAAAAAGCGTGTTGCAGACCTTTTGGGGATTAGAGTTTCGGAGATATAGAGATTGGGAGAGAAGAAGAAGGATTAAGCCTCCGGTAATCCCACTCACGTTGTGGTGGCCCGGAGGTTAAGGAGCCCGCTTCTCATGCATGAGGGTGTGAGTTCGAAACCTGGAAAGCACCAATGTGACTTTTTCCGAGTTATACGTACTTTCTATGATTATTTAGATACCACTGACATAGGTACGGTGAAGGTAAACATCGTGAGGAAACCTGGACTTATGATTACTAATTAGAAGTTTGAAAACCGATCCGCATTTAGCAAGCGTGGTGATTAATGCTCTAACCTTCTCCGTGTGAGAAGAGGCCTTTGCTCAGCAGTGGGCACTTTTAAGCTGATGATGAATCTCTCACGCGGCGAAACAACGCTGTGGTAGTTTTATGCCGGTTTTTCTGCGAAGCCGTGGTATCACTCCAGTCCAGCAGACCCATTCGTGCCGAAACATGGCTCTCTCACACTTGAATTGCCACTTGAATGTTTGATTTCAGCGCAATCCTGCCTACACTTCCACATACGTGTTTCCAAATGACTTCCCGGCGTTATTAGAGCGCGTGCCTGATCCGCCACCGTCAGAACATCCCCTCTTCAGATCATCAGCTGCTAAGGGAACTTGCAGGTATATCTTGACAACCTTTTTAGTAGTTTTGCGAGCCACACTGAGACAGTGATTTTTTCGCAATAGCTCGGAAAAAGAGGATGATGATTGGGTCAAAAATAAATTACGTACTTCCACTAATTAATCAATTATAGTGTCATAAGTTAACATTACTGTCATTAATAATTTTGGGCCGCTTACAAAGACCTCACAGAAAACCTGCTTGAAACAACCATTGCGGTTTTTTTTCGCCATTGTTAGTTTTGTGTAGTTGAACAGAATATTAATATTTTTTCTTAAATAATAAGATGTGTTGTTTCTTCTTTCGTTGCAGAGTGATGTGCTTTCACCCTGACTCCACGATGACCATACCGTTGATGACCGTCGACGAGATCCTAGCTGTTATTAACGAGTAAGTATTTCGCACATTCTATTCACGTAGCGTTGGTGAGATGAGAGGGAGTGTCAGACTCTTATTGACTTATAATCCCTCCTGCTCTAGGCCGAGGCCGCGGTACATAATGCTAATGCGCTTGACCGGCAACCCCGACTAAACCTCCACCCTGTTGGGCATCTGTCGTGGTCTATTAGCTCTTTAAGACGCGGGCGGAACGCTACGCGCCGCACGCTAGGGCCTGGTTCTGGTTAGGCAGCGAGCTACTAGTAGTTTATAAGCAACCAGCGCCGTCCATGGGCACTCGTAGGTAAATACCAAAGGAGTTATTAAAACTCTTGTAGGTTATTAGGGATTTAAGGACAGGGTTTTTGAAGTTCGACCGGATCGACCGGAGGGATACCACGGCCTCACAGAAGACCGGCGTGAAACAACCACAGCGTTGTGTTTCGCCGTGTGAGTGAGGTTACCGGAGGCCCAATCCTTCTCCGCCCCCAATCCCTCCTCAATCCCTAAATCTCCAAATCCCTAATCCCTAAAAGGTCGGCAACGCACTCGTAAAACCTCCGTTGCGGGTGTCCATGGGCGGCGCTGATTGCTTACCATGAGGTAATCCGTCTGCTCGTTTGCCGACCAATAACATTAAAAAAAAGTTTGAGAATGGGGGCTCTCACTCACTCCGGTTTTCTGTAAGGCCGTGATATCACACCACGGGCTCTCCCACACTTTGAATGTAGAGTGTTGTTTTGAAGCCTTACTCAATAAATTGACTGTCCTATAAATATTTGGAGTTGTAGGGCAAGCGCAAGGGGTAATACGGATAAATTACGGTGACTTCTGCCTGCAGCTGGTCAGCGCTGTTGTCTCGTGCCTGCGTGAGCGAGGCACAGCATATATACTGAGCGCTGTCCCTTTTTCGCAGGGTGGCGCAACTTCAGCGTCTTTAAATGTTAATACTTATATGTTTGTGTCGTCGTTAGTTTTACTTGTTTGTTTTGTTGCTTTTGCGTCTTTTGTGTTAATAAATGGCTTTCTTTCAGCTTGAAACACTCTTTCGCCCGCTGCGAAGCTATCTAACCGAGACACGTGTAGGAATATTGTTCAAAATTTTAAACCTTTTATTTTACAGATGGGTCAACCAGCTACAAGAGTTGGGTCGTAAGTACACGTGGGTGCAGATATTTGAGAATAAAGGGGCAATTATGGGATGTTCGAATCCCCACCCTCACTGTCAAATCTGGGCGTCAAGTTACTTGCCCAATGAACCTCGAGTTAAGGAACGGTAAGAATTTTATTTGACAACTATTTCAAATTCAATCTTCATTATCATCAGCCTATAAGTGTCCACTGCTGAGGAAAGGCCTCTTCGCACACGGAGACGGTTTGCTGCCACGCTTGCTCAAGGCTGATTGACATTTCCAAATGTATAATTAGAAGTTACAAATCCAGGTTTTGGATTGGGCCTCTGGTAACCTCACTCACACAATGAAATACAACGTAAGAGTTGGTTCACGCTGGTATTCTATAAGTCCCATTCGAGCCGAAGCATAGCTCACACTTATTTATGTTATCGCTTTATCAATTCACAGATGCCAGAAGGAATATTTCATCAAATTCAAACGTCCCATGCTGTTAGACTATTTGAAGGAAGAAATGATCAAGAAGGTAAAATAATAGGTCAACTATCCTAGAGTCAATTTTTTTGGAATATGTATGATGTTTTAAATTGATAGCAGCGCCAGATTAACCATTAGAAAGAGCAGGCGAGAGGCATTTTTTGAGGAGTAAATAATATAATCAAACATTTTCTCTCGCTCCGGATATGGCGAGAGCGTGCCTTCTCCTGCTCTAACCACGGTGTCTACTGCGCTTTCGCACCTCTGGCTAAACATCGGCCCTGTTGAGCACCTTTGGTAGACTATCGGCTCTTTGTGGCGCGAACAAACACTACGCTTCGTAGGCTCGGGTCTGGTTCTGGTTCGGCAGCGATCTCCCCTTACTCGCCAAGATCCGGAGATCGTCGCTCGATCCCCGACGCACGAAATATCGCCTAATGTGGGCGTCTGATTTAATCCCTGCCTGATGATAAGCCATCGGCGCCGCCCATGGACACTTTTAGTACTTAAGGAGTTACTACAAGGCACCGGCTTCTTGTGGGTTATTGTGGATTTAAGGCTAGGGGATTTGAGGATTGAAGATGAGGGTAGGGGGGAAGAATTGGGCCTCCGGGTACCTCACTAACATTGTGAAACCACGTTGTGATTGTTTTACGTTGGTTTTCTGTGAGGCCGTGGTCCACTCCGGTCGAGCCGACCCATTCGTGCCGAAGCATGGCTGTCACACACTTGAATCTATATTCATTTTCTTTTACTCCAGGAACGAGTTGTAATTCAGAACGCGGAATGGGTGGCGTTAGTGCCATACTGGGCCGTGTGGCCTTACGAAACTATGCTACTACCAATAAATGGTAGACCGCAGAGGATGACCGACTTGACAGAGGAACAGAAGCGGTCGCTAGCGGAAATTATGAAGCAGTTAAACATCAAATATGATAATCTGTTCAAATGCAGCTTCCCTTATAGCATGGGTTTTCATGGTAAGTTCAAATTACACTTTTAATAAGCTCCAATCTTCATTCCATCAATTTTTTGTGCAATTGTTACGTATTGTAAAATATACGTACCTACTTAACTTGCTTCTGCCCACTGCTTAGCATTCTCATAAAACGAATGTATTCCGGGATTTTTAAAACTAAACTACGCAAGTTTATAATCGAAGAATTTAGGAAATTCGACCTGCGGTTTCAGAGGGAACCTATCCCTACATACATACAAACTTACATTTTACCTCTTTTTAGGATAGATTACATTAAAAATAACAGCCTACTTACGTGAACTTGAATAAGAGTCCCGCAGTGTCTTGAAACTTTTAGAGCTTTTCTCAATTAATTCACAATTTTGTGTCTAATCGGTCAGTTATACTGATTAACGATAGTCAGTCCACATTGTTTTGCGCTTTCTAGCTTGAATAATTCCACATCTTCTTCTACTCACTTCGCTTTCTCTATCCCAGGTGCCCCAACTGGCCCATCGGCTGCTCCAGGCGACTCCCCTCACTGGCTCTTGCACGCCATCTACCTACCACCGCTACTGAGATCGGCAACTGTCAAAAAGTTTATGGTCGGCTATGAAATGTTGGCACAGTCCCAAAGGGATTTGACGCCTGAACAAGCCGCTCAGAGGCTGAGAGAGTGTGATGATGTACATTATAAGGCCAAGAAGTAGATTTTTTTGGACGCTTACTCATAACTAGTCTTGAAATGTATGAAAAAAATAAACAATGAATTTATTTTTGCAAATAGGCTTTAAAACGACACTTTTACACGTCAAAATATATGTAAAAATAACCTAGATGAACATTTCCGGTCTATCTGACTACTCTGAAAAGAAATCCCGAATCAAACTAAAAAGTCCATCTCTTGTCGTACGTGTCGTATGTCGAACATGTTGCTTACAAATTTGAGCTCCAAGCGTTTTTTAAATCTTGAACATTTAAGTGAGTAAGCAGTAAAACTGACGTCTGAATGTTGTGTTTATAATTTCGTTGTAAAACTTACCGTGTTGAAGCTATATGAGTTTGTAAGTTTGGGAATAACTTTTTTATAATAGTTACTAAGTCATAAAATATTGTAGCACGTTAATAAAATGCTTTGTTAAAATTTTCGTTTTTTTTTTTATGTTTCGCCTGTGTATTCCTTTTCTACGCTTACGCTTACTACTTTCATTTTTATACGTTAGTTTTTTACGTAGACTAAGTAGTAGTACATAACAGTGCAATGGCTTTGCTTGCGATACTGAGATCACACATCGTAACAAACTTTTGTGTACGTTAGTAAGACTAAATATCCAGTTATTCAAGAACTATATAATAAGTTAGATAATTAAAAAAAGAATGCACGCGTTCAAGATCAGTCCAATAAGGTATTTTAAGCATAAATTAGAGTTGGTTGTCTCTTTTACACCCTTAATTTTAAATGTTTCTATCTCACTCTCCCAAATGACATATTCAGCTGACGTCAAAAATAAGCCAAATATGACCTGTCACTGTCACAAACAAAATTAATGTTTTGACTTTTTGCCACTTTGACACTGTATTTTTATTTTGGTTCAATTTTAGTTCACAAAAAGCCAAACTATTTATTTTTTATAACAAAATGAGCACAAAAACAAAAGTCGGAGGAACTACAAAGAAGAGAACAGAGTGTGAAATATGTAAGAAGGTCGTAATTGGCAGTTCTTTCAAATATAAAGCTCATATATACCAGCACAAGCTTGTAAAATCACGATTTCAATGTGAATATTGCTCTAATGAGTATTTTAGAAGAGACGCTTACATGAAACATGTGAATTCCCATACTGGCAATAAGAAAACGTCATACATATGCGACCACTGCGACCGTGGGTTTGTTGAGAAACGAAATCTAATACTCCATCTAAAGGTCCACGACGAATATTTCACACAACAACAATACAAATGTATAGCATGTAACATTTTTTTCTGTGAAGAGAGGCTGCTGAAATACCACATAAGGAAGAAGCATTTCAATTTTCAAGAAAATGAACCTACTTTTGTACAAAAACAGCTGAACGAAACATGGGTCGAACGCGTTTTAGAATCCGAAGTCTGCGTCGAAATGACAAAGGTAAACAACAACATTATAAACATAAAAAAGATTCCAAAATCAAATTCAAAAGTGATAAAAACCACAAATAATGTAGAGGCCAATAGATTTAAGGAGTATATATCTTCTGTTATTGCAAGTAAAGATAAATCTCAGTATTCTAAAGCGATTTGTGATTATTGTAATAAGGAAATGCTAAAAAAGAGTTTGATTCCTCATATTAGAGAAAGACATAGTCGGTCTAAACAGTTTTACTGTGAACAGTGTAAACAAGGTTTTAATAGACAATATCTAATGGTTAATCATATCTGTGGCAAATATAAAAATAGAATTCCCCAATCCTTCCCCTCCCCCAATACCTCCTAAATCCCTAAATCTCCAAATCCCTAATCCCTAAAAGGTCAGCAACATACTCGTAATTCCTCCATTGCGAGTGTCCATGGGCGGCGCTGATTGCTAATCATCAGGTAATCCGTCTGCTCGTATGCCGACCTATTATATATATATATATAAAAAAATAAGAAATAGTTTTACATTAATAAGGAATCTAATAAAAATATTGATCATTATATACTACTTAAACGCTCCACAACCTGACACAATGTTAAAGTTTTTTGGAGAATCACCGAAATTCTTGTGAAATGTTTTATAAAAAATCATAAAGGCTACTAGTGGGCGCTAGGTGCTAAAGGCTACTAAAGAGAACTGACAAGCCAAGGCTGGGAACTGATTTAAAAAATAAAATAACAGAAACCAAACTGAATTTGATTTATATATGCAGCTTTATGGTGTGTCCGTATTAACCGGATTTTTATACTCTAAACGATACTTTTTTGAAACTAGTTTATACAACAAAACCAAATGTAAAAGTTTTGCATCAAGTTTATACTTAATACAGGTTTGAAAACTTTACCCGTTTGTAAGCCTTGATTCTACCCTTGTGTTTTTTTGCAAACATTTCACACCCATCTTTGCTTAGGTATAGTTGATACTCAAGTTGCCTTCTCTTAAAAGGGTCTAATAAAGTAAAAAGTATATACAAAGTTAATAATAAGTACGTATACGTTTTTATTACAAAATATTTTATATATTTTTATTAGAAAATACTATTTTACTATGCTAATTATAATATAACTGTTAGTGCCTTAAAATATAAAAAAATGACTTAGTGTATACAATGTAAGTAGGAAAAGTATTTTTTTAGTTTTAAAAACAGACATTTTTAGGTATATTAAGTAAGTATAAAATTTTTTTTATTATACAGTACACAGACTTAGAAATGCGAGTGCCAAGTTTCAATCCTTTTTGAATTGATTAGTCTTCCACTATTATTAATTAGGATTTGGTGAGAAAATTGCTAATTCAATTAGTTCTACGTTATTTTTATTTGAGTTTTATAGTATATAAAAAATTTCATTTTATTTTAAAACTTGGGAGGCATCCTGGCTTTGCAGGGTGTAATAATGATACTAATTTTCTCCACTGTATAAAGGATGTTATTATAAATATAAAATTTCCTCTTCAACCAGTTGTGTAGTTTTAAAGATTTAAGTAACTATACATAAGGATATAGGGACAAAGAAACCGATTTTGTTTAATACTATGTAGTGATTATAAGTATAGTTTATAAGGTAGAGCACAAAAGAGTCTTCCAATGAATGTTTCTAATTAAATAAAAAAAAAATTGTTAACTCCACATGTGACACTGAATAGAACAGGCGAGTAGCATAATGTTTTCATTATTATACAATTATTAGTTTTAAGATATTTTCCCCTACAACCTGTTTAAAGCTTATTTGACTTATATTTTAATATAATTCGTAATATGGAAGATATCTGCCAATAAGACTAAGGATCGCTGCTAATCGCGAATTTTTGTGACCGTGATTTTTGCTTATATCATCTACTGTCACTCAGGATTCCGATTATCCTTCTAGTCTGTGTGTGAGTGAACTACATGGGCTGATTTTTAAATAGTAAAAAACTATCGTGAGTAATACTAAATTCATCTAAAATTAGCTTCAGCCCGCGGCTTCGCACGCGTATAAAACATATATATCACGGGAGTTTAAAAACAGCAGTATTTACAGCACTCAAATAAACATTGTAGCTATCAATCAGTAAAAGAATTTTGGGAATCCGACCAGCGCGGCAGCGGTTACATAGATTATCCCCTACATACAAACTTAAAAATTTTACCTCTTTATAATATTAGTCTTAGTCTAAAATATCAGTTCGCTGCGCGGCGTTGCCGTGACGGGCACGTTGCTAATAAATAAGAGTCCCGTTGTAACTTGAAACTAGTAGAGTAGTCTTTCTCGTCTCACGAGTGTAAGCTGGTATTTTCAATTTATTTAGATACATAGTCTGGTAATTCTTGCCATTAGTATTATCATCCAATGAAAGTAAGACCTGCCGCTAACTGAAATTGTTTGTCACTGAGTTGCAATGAAGATATAGGAGAGTGCGTTCAAAGCGGTGACGTGACAATGCAGTGACCTATATTTGCAGCGTGATTGTCAGCCGACCTGTACATTACCATGGAGTTAGCTCAATAATATTGCTGACTGCACTCTTGGTGCGTAGGCTGAGTAACTGGCTAAATCGCACAACGTGTCCCGGGTTCGATTCCTGCATGGGACTACTCTTTGTGTAATCTACAAATTGTTGTTCCCGGTCTGAGTGTGTGTGTAAAATAGTATTTTTATAAACGCACCCATGACACAGGAGTAAATCCTAGGGTGGGGCAAGTTCTTTTTTAAAAAGAAGAGGAAAAAAAATATTTTATTCAAAAGTGACTTCTTTTTTTGGAATTCATACATAATACCTAATTATTGTAACTCACGGGCAGTTTCAGTGAGCGCATCGTGAGTGACAGTAAGAAAAATCACGGTCACAGATAGTCACAATCAGTGACGAGAACTCTATTGGCCAGCATTTCAAATTGAACCCAGCCAGTCAAGTATCACGTTTACCTCGAATATGCAAACCTGCCCGTAATTGACTATTGACAATGTGTTAAAATAAGGGAACTCGTTGTGACTTCAAACTAATATAGCAGTTCAGAATTTTCAGTTTTGAAAACATTAGTCAAATATTGCGCAGTGGATACTTGAAAATAGCTTAACTTCACAGCTTTTCTTAGTTACTACACGTGAGGTAATCGTTATTTTCAAACAACCAAATAAGACTGATATAAGTAATATTTGTATGTTGTTAATATTTATGTATACCTAAGTTATAGGACTCTCTATAACATTATTGTGTTGTAAATTGTAACTGACAAATAATACAAATATTAATATGATCCTGTTGTATGGGACTTGTGCAGTTTGCATAGTTATTTGGTTTGAAAGTGAGAACATATAGATAAGAAAGTGACAGAAGCTATTGTGACACGAAACACGTGTGTTTTAATGGAGCCATATTAACTTTTGTAACAATATTGGTTACTGTGACTGTATTGAATCTTTATTTTCATATATTTTTTGATGGAGCAAAGTCAAATCATTTGTTTCAACTAAACCATAAACAAGTACTTTTGAAACGTCGATATAAAACAGACAGTCGGTTCGTCATTGAAGCTAATTGCTCGTTCCAAAATGTGCTTTCTTGTGGAAAAAAATGACCCGGAAACTCTATAAAACATCATTTCTCCCATCCTAATTGGTTCGAGAGGTTGTATAATAATCTTACTGACTAAAAACCACCCTGTTCTTTCTCTTTCTTCGAGCCGGGCTGCGATACGGCATTGTGTTTTCGCCCGCCATGTTATTATTTTTGTATCTGCATACCAAATAAATATGCAGACTGTACATAGAAGAGAGAAAGAGAGCGAGCGAGAGGGGGAAAGAGAAAGAAAGAAGTCAATGCTACACTGGAAAAGGGCTCTCAATATTAAAATCGATCAAACAACTATTAATAATACTATATTATATTAACAACGATCTCGTTAAGCCCCGAAAATCTTCATTGGATATAAAACCTTAAATAGAAAATGTAATAATAAAAATTTCCTTTCCTAGTTTGCTACTGAGTTCTTTCTTGTTTATTGTTGAGATTCCAGCCTTGTTAAGCTGATTAAAACTATATTAAACGTCATATTTTATTTGTATTTTAGTTTCAATAAATAGTGCTTACACTTTAGACTATGATGATTTTGTTATGTAAAAAAAAAATATGCCAGCATCACACTTTTTTTTTACTTATAAGACTATCATCTATTTATATTTAGGTACCTATCCCAAGTTTGTTGCCGGCGTTATAAATTAGCCTTAAATGTTAATCATAGTAAATGACTTGAAATCACGTGTTATGTTTTACAAAAACTGCATGTTATATACATCTAAAAATATTGTGCCTTAAATATACTTTATTACATTACAAAATTATTTGTTTTATTACAATGGTTTACCTTCTTCTTGTTGTCGCTTCCCGCCATCGAGATATTTTAATATTACGTTCAATTGAATTCAACGCTTCGTCTTCAAAAGAATCCGATACTGACGATGTATCATTAAATTCTTCCCGTGTAAACAGTTTAAACTTCGAAACATAACGTTTTTTCAAATATTCTTGCAAATCTAAATCAGTTTCTTGTCTTTTCATTACTTTCCATTTCATTTTCTTTTCAAGTAATAAGGGCTTTTTAACCATAACATTTGTCTTGATTGAAATCGGTGTGACTGACTTTGACACTTTATTTATTTCTAATGGCGGGAAAACGCTAAAAGCAGCTTCCATTGGTAACGTCATTGTATGATTCAATTCATTCAGAACATTATTTTTACTCTGTAACGGTATTTTTTCTTCAATGTTATCATTCGGTCTCGTAGTGAGGAGGTTTAGTTTCAAAGGTATGTCGGTTTTAACGATTTTTCTCGTGTTTGGATTGAAACGGCCACAGGCGTCGATACAAACGTAATTCGCGTAGTTTGGTCTCATAATTCGTGAATAAATAACATCATTTGTTGAGTTTATTATCCTGAATATAACACAATCTGGTTTTATCTGTGAACGAAAAAGAAAAATTGTTTATTGTAGCACTAGCAACAGTCCACTTTTGGATTAAGGGGTTCCATTCTATGTATAAAAAGCGTTGCCTTATTTTCCACGCGATTACGTCGCCTCTTGCCTTGAACATCACAGTTTAAAAGGAAAGTTATATCAGAGATCATAACCTCTGTTAAAAATATAATCACGACATCCGCGAATGGGATCGGGTTAGTGACAAGTATTTTATTCGATACACGTATTAAAGAAGGTGAATAGCAAAAAAAAAAACAATTGACACGATCGCGATCCTACCTTGTAGGAGGCGTGATGGTGGATCTATGGGCGGCTTCAATTGCTTACTATCATGTGATCCTACTCTTTTGCTAACGAATGACATAAAAAAGTCACTTTCCCTTTATATACATTAATAATTACTCAAATAAATGCAGTAAATTCTAGACTTGCGCGGAGTAATTTGCTCAAGAGATTTGCTGTCGTTTCACGTCAATCGAATGAAACATGGATCTCCCTGGTTTAGCGAGCATTTTTTTATGTAATAGGTCGGCAAACGAGCAGACGCATTACCTGATGGTAAATCAGCGCAGCCCATGGACACCCGCAACGGAGGAGTTACGAGTGCGTTGCCGACCTTTTAGGGATTAGGGATTTGGAGATTTAGGAATTGGGGAAGGGGACGGATTGGGCCTCCGGTAACCTCACTCACACGGTGAAACACAACACTGTGGTTGTTTCACGACGGTTTTCTGTGAGGCCGTGGTATCACTCCGGTCAAGCCGACCGATTCGAATGCATGGCTCTCCCACACTTAAATTTCTGGCCCTTTAACATCGATCACTAATAAAGAACCTTTAATAACAAAAGAGATGTTATGTAAACAAACAAACCTCATAATGAGTAATAATCTCGCAAGAATCTTGGTTTCCACAAATTATGTTCCTTTGTTTTCGTTTTTCTGGAACACTGTACATTTTGGTGAAACGCCATTTGGTCTCAATGGGGTTCTCACATGAAGCTGTTAAGTCTGAAAAGTTGATGATACTTGGGCAAGTAGTGTTCATATCTGTGTATTGATTATAGTAGGCTCCACACAGTTGCTTATCAGTGATCACTGAGAATATTTCATAGGGACATGGTGGAGGTCTTTCTTCGATTGTCTACTGAAAAGAAACGGTAAAAAGGTTTTAGTTTACGGCACTAATTTTCTTTCGTAAATTACTTCAATGTTATACGAATAAGGTACCTATATAGAATCCATAGCTCCGATGCAGATAGTAGTTTAGTAAGCGCTAAATCTGACTTAAATGTATCACATCGGCAGTAGGTTTGGTTTTCGAATTTAATCGATGTGGATGATTGAATAAAATTAACATGCTGATGCTGCGGAATCCTACCGGATGTGCATACTATTTTTAAGAATAATATATGATAATGTTCAATTTAGATTATTTTATGTGATTCGGCAAACGGCCAGATGTTACCTGATGGTAAGCAATCGGCGCCGCCCATGGACACTTGGAATACCAAAGGAGTTATAATACAAGCGCGTTGCCGGCCTTATAGGGTTATTACGGGGTACGGTTATTAGAGATTTAAGGATAGGGGATTTGAGGGTTGAGGATAGGGCGGGAAACACGGTGAAACACGAGGAAAGTGTTACCTACTTCACGCTGGTTTTCAGTGAGGCTGTGATAATATTCCAGTCGAGCCGGCCCATTTGTGCCGAAGCATACCTCTCTTGCACTCAAAACGTTAAAATGAATGAAGAATGTAATACTCTCAATCGTTTGGAATAAGGGAAGAAAAAAAGACAGGTATTTCACCACTCACTCACCCACATCCCACAATTTTGGTATCCTGGAGCTTGAACGATATTATTACACTTGTAACACACAGTTTTGTCTCTACCACCGAAAGATGCGACACTACGCCAAGTCCTCCAATAGAAATCCCGTTTGTAATTATACTTCATGCCATCCATCGCTAGTAAGCGCCTAAAATCTCTCTCAAAAGTCTCCATTTTCTTCCATTTTTTGGAAAACTTGTTTCCCTTTTTCAAGTCATGAGTGACATCGTTGACTACTTCAATATTGTTTAAAACTGCATTTTCCAATGTCAGTAGCGCTTGGTCCTTCATTTGTCTTTCTTTTCGTCTTTCCATAAATCGTTCTTGAAAGTCCTTAAGCCGAATTCCTAATACGTGGCGCATCACTATTAAATTGAATGATGATAATAAAATTAATTGAATGAATGACATTTTGTGATGATTTATTAAAATTTTATCTGTATGCGATTTTTATGCGCGGCATTTAGGTTAGGTATTTTATTTTTACATATTTTGATTAAGTTTTTTAAATATTACATTTTAATTATTATAACAAACTCTACGATTAAAACTGTTATTGATCACTAGCAGTTACAACAGCTTGCAAAAAATATTGAACTAGTCTAGTTCTAATCTGATTAACAAAGTTGTAGAAAAAGTAAAAGAAATGTCCTTTGTGACAACTTTTTACGATTATTAAGAGTTTTGTCCTTATTTTTTCAGAGTAAACAGGTGTGCAATTGAATTCATACTTCAGAAGTCAGTCTTGCTGGAAAGTAACATCGATGTTTACAGAAAAAATTAATGTAGCGTATTAACGTAGCTTTGTAAAATAATATATTTAGGGTAGACGCTTAAGGTAATAAACCAAATGGAAACAATCTTGGCATGTTTTTTTATCTAAAAGTCGTCAAAACCTAAGTAAATCGATATTAGTTAATAAATATTTTTTTGTAGGTATGTATTTTATACGACCTCTTTAATATAAAAAGACATAGGTACCAAGCCCCACCAATTATTATTGACGGTGGATATCTCAATTATACATTAATCTACCTAAAATTTTATAAGCATTAAACAAAATACTGTCACACCAATGAGCCGGTAGGCAAAGGTGCACATACATTAATTATTAGCTCTAGTATGTATTATGTATGGCTACTACTATAGCACAACTCGAGACGCTGTGTGAACAATTTTGAAAAGTTAAACAACAGCCTTTGTATATAATCGCCCGCAGGGCACCGCAATTGAGGTGATGGGAATTATTAGCGATCCCGCGGCGATCATCCCGAGTTCTCCAGGGAGAAGTCACTGTTCCTTATTTCCGGCTCGCCTTTTTTGGCTGGCCGGAGTGAACAATGACGAGGAACAGGTCTCCCACCTCTAGCTTGCCTTCATTAGCCGTCCAGAGTAGAGTTGCGAGATTAGTGATACTGCTGGAAGGAACCCATAGCCTTATCCCTTGTTTTCACTATCTGCCTTGGTCCTACACTAACCGGGGACTGTCCTTAGGTTTTGGACCCTCCTTCATTCTCCGACCCCTCATACGCTTCATAAATGACCGGGGCCCTGCGGTCCCATGATTGGTAAAGACATCTATACTAATATTATAAAAAGGTAAAATTTGTAAGTTGGTACCTATGTAAGTTTCTAAGTTTGTATGTAGGGGGTAATCTTTGGAACCGCTGGTCGGATGGCCAAAATTCTTTCACTGATAGATAGCTACGATGTTCCTGAGTGCTACAGGCTATAAAACATTACGCTACGATCAAACGGAGCTGAGCAGCGGGTAGCTAGCGCTAAATATACTTACTTAATTTTATTCTTTTAACGAGATCGAAAAGGCTATGATAAACTTTCATGTAGTGTTTCTTAAGAACTTTTCAATTTTGTCTTAAGTACTTTTAAAGTTACTAGACTATTATATTTTTATTTGAAGTCCCGCTTCGTAGTAGTGGCAACCGGCAATTTATTTCAACTTTTGTGATTTGGCGCCATTCGCCATTTGTGACGTCACATCACATGGATGTCAAAAATGTGACCAAATAAAAAAATAAACAATGCTAAAATATATACTTACCAGAACCTGGAACGCGTTAATGAATGGCGAGTAAATCTCCGCGAGTTTTTGTTGATTGATAAATCATTCATTCTATTTCGTTCATTTCATTCCTCTTACAAAGATGGGATATGACGGGTGTCTATCGTAAATTCGTAAAAAAAACCATTTTGTTCAACTATTTTAGTTACGAAAATATTTTGTGACAAGACATTGTGAGTTCGCGTGTGTGTCTGTGTTATATTTGTGTGTTATTAATAATTTTGAACCACGTTTTTCATCATATTTGCTGCTCAACGTAATTTGGTATGTATTTTATTTTAAATATAAGTAACTTCGGTCCTTTGTTAGATTAATATTCTTGATTCGAAATGGAAAGTTAGTTTCGCGTTTTATTATTCATAGACCTACCTCGTTGAATAATAGTTTTTATTCTGATTTCATATTCAAATTAAGTTTTAATTTGGTCTGAAAATCTTATTACCACGCCCGTACAATCTAAATACTGCCTTAGACTTTAAACTTCTTAAAAAGTAATACATTTGTTTATGATTTACAATGAAAATATAATCGCGAGTACCATTTACCCCCTAAATTCTCATTAACACTCACAACACAAGTTTTTATGCTAGTATTTTCCACATTATTTTAATCACAGCGGTTTTAATTAAATTCTTGATTAAGTACCTATGATAGGAAATGGAATTTCTTTGGTCAATTATAGTAACTAATCAAGGCACAGTGGCCTGTACACTTTGTAGTTAGAATTCAATTAATACTAAGTCAGAAGTCATTTATTATTCTTGAAACTCTACAGGTAGGTAGAGTAATAACATCAGAGATTTTTTATATTACATATACCTTACCCTTATTTAGGTAAAAGATTGTAATAAAATTTGTATTGTCATTAAAGATCATATTTCCTCAATAAATTATTATGAACAACAATGAACATGACTCAAACCTCTTTGTTTATAAAACTCCTTTCATGTCATAGCAACAGCCAATAATTTTACTCCATTTTGTAAGTGGCACAATGATATGAACGCATACAGCCAGCATAAAAACTTCTTCACATATTTTTTAGTTAGCAATTTCTGGGTTTTCTGGGACACATGGTGTGATTGTAAGAAATCTGGCTGCCTGCCAATCCTTTGTAAATGGCAAAAATAAATGAATGATTAATATTACAATTATGTTTTTAAACCAAATATATACAAGTGGCTGTATGGTGACCAGTGACACAATTCTTATTTTAAACAATAGTTATATGGACTCTTTGTTTGGTCATTGCCTTGTTTTAAAGTTCACTTTATTATCTGTGGTTTCATTACATGTTCTTATTTTAATTTTAAATGCTTTACATACAGCGATATTAGAAAAAAATTTAGTTTATTTTTCATCATACAGCTTACTTAACAATGTTAAACCCATTTTTCACTATTTAACAAGTCCCTTATATTAGGACTTTATTCTATTGCAATATATATACACAAATAGACCCTGTTATATTGAGCATGTTGAAAACTATTGCAATTTAATGTTGATTTTATTATCCTTGTACCGTTACACCTGTTATCCCCAAAAGGGGTATGTAGTGATGTAACACCCACTTTGAAGGATTAGTTATTGGCATATGCTGAAAAAACAATTCTGTACTTGGTGCTACTACTTATTCAACCTCCTTGAGAAACCCCAAACTTAATACTTTGTCTCATCCGGCCATGGAAGACGAGACCTCTTGTCCGGCAGTCACACTGGCGAGTATTCTACCTACAACGAATATTAATGTCCTTTTAGCACTATAGGGTAGGGTAAAAAAAGTGTGGGAGAGACATGCTTCTGCACGAATGGGCCGGCTCGACCGGAGTGCTACCACACTGGCTCAGAACACTGGCGTAAGACAACCACAGTTTTTCGCCGTGTGAGTGTGGTTACAGGAGGCGAAATTCTCCGCCTTCCACCATCCCTCGCCAATGCCTAATCCCCAAAAAGGCCGGCAAAGCACTTGCGGTCTTCTGGTGTTGTGGGTGTCCATTGACGGCGCAGATTGCTTACCGTCAGCTAATCCAAAAGCTGCTATGCCACCGTATCATCATCTTCCTATTCTTACCCTCATCCCAAATTATTTGAGGTCAACGCGATACATGATCTGCTTCCTATCTTTTATTTAAAGGGACTGTTTTACAATGTCTTAGTAGCCACTATATACCAGTTTAATTATTGTTAAGTCATGTGGGGTTGTTCTAGACAAATATCATTGTAGCAACCTATTTTATTCTTGACTAGCGCGGTTTCAGTCGCTGCTGGGCTCCATTTAATCGTAGCGTGATGTTTTATAGCCTATAGCACACAGGAACATTGTAGCTACCTATAAGTGAAAGGCGATCCGACAGAGAACTAAAGTTATCGACATAGCCCAAAGGATGAGCAAACTGAAGTGGCAGTGGGCAGGTCACATCTGTCGAAGAACCGATGACCGCTGGAGTAAACGTGTTCCAGAGAGGAGACCACGTCTAGGCAAACGTAGTGTAGGGCGCCCTCCAGCTAGGTGGACTGACGTCATCCGCAGGGTGGCTTTTTTTTTTGTCAGGGGAAAATCATCCAATGACTTCTCCCGCCCAGGGTAAGGCGAGAGAGAGTGTCAGACTCTTACTGACTAAAAACCCCCCCGTTCCTTCTCCTGCTCTGGGCCGAGGTCGCGGTGCCTCATTGCGCTTACCCCGCAGCCCCGGCTAAACATCACCCCTTTAGGGCCCCGACTGTGGTGGTCTATTGGCTCTTTGAGGCGCGCGCGGAACGCTACGCGCCGTACGCTCGGGTCCGGTTCTGGTCGGGCGGCGAGCTACCCTTACTCGCCGTCCGCAGACCCGCGCTTACGGTGGCCGGAGATCATCTCTCGATCCCCGACGTCCGGAATGTCGCCTTCTGCGGCGGCTGGGGCGCGAGGAGGATAATTCCCTCACGCGCTCCGCCTCCTCCTTTGCGAGCATAACTGCTTCGCAGAAGGAGGAGATAGCTTCCCAGTTCCTCTCACGCTGCACCATGGCCTCGATTAAGGCCGGGCGCGAGAGGTCGCCGCCGCCGATCACTTCCCTGAGAACACGGCGGTGCTCAGCCCAAGCAGGGCACTCCGCCACTGTATGCTCCACCGTGTCCTCCAGGTGATCCTCACAATGACGACACTCGGGCGTTTCCTCCCGCTGGATCCGAAACAGGAACCTACCAAAGCTGCCGTGCCCGGTAAGCACCTGCGTCAGGCGGAAGGTGAGGACGCCGTGGCGTCTCTCAAGCCACTCCTCAAAGAGGGGTCTTATCGCTGCTATAGTAGCGTGCCCGGCCCTCGGTTGCGACAGTCGCTGCTTCCACTCAGCCATGAGATCTCGCCGGAGCTCATTCCGCCACGCACTAATTTGGCGCGGCAGAGGATCCTCGCCCCGGCGACGCGCGTCTGCGCGCAAACTGTAGACGCGCGCGAGCGCCTTCGCTTCCAGATCCCATGGCGGTGATCCGGCAAGGAGGTTCGCCGCCTCCCCGGAGATCGTGCGATATCCGCGGATTATTCGGATAGCCATGACCCTCTGGGACGCGACCAGCGTTCGAGCCGGCCGCCGCTTCAAATCCGGCGCCCACACAGGGGCACCGTAGAGGGCCATGGATCGCACAATCCCCATGTACAACCTCCGGCAGGAGGCGTTTGGCCCCCCGAGGTTGGGAAGGAGCCGCTTGAGCGCGGCCCCAGACCGTTCCAACTTAGGAGCCAAACGACGAAAATGCTCCGTGAAGTTCCATCGGCTGTCGAGGACGAGACCCAGGTACTTCATCGCCGACTCGACGCCGATGGTAACTCCTCCTGCCATTATTTGGGACCCATCTGGAGGTGGCGCGTTCCGACGGCCATAAAAACACATGGCCTCGGATTTGTGAAGCGCCACCTCGAGTCCCAACTGCCGGATCCTTGCAACGACTGTCGCGACCGCTTGCGACATCAGGTCGGCCGCCGCCTGATGTGACCTCCCATTCGCCAGCAACAGCGTGTCGTCAGCATAACAAACAATGTTGACGCCGCTCGGGAGGTCGGTGCGTAGCACCCAATCGTACCCGATGTTCCACAGGAGAGGTCCCAGGACCGATCCCTGTGGAACACCGCGCGACACCTCTCGCCGATTCCACACGCCCCGGTGACCGGGGTAGATGACACATCTGTCCGTCAAGTAAGCCTCGACTACACGACGGAGATAGGCAGGCACCCGGTGGTACCGGAGTGCCTCCAGAATGCAGCTCCAGGGCAACGAATTGAAGGCGTTGGCGATGTCCAGAGACACCGCCACGACGACTCGCCCCCTGGCCAACGCAGTCCCCGTCGTGAGGTCCCTCACGCGCATGATGGCGTCTACCGTGGAGCGCCCTCTGCGGAAGCCGAACTGGCCGTCCGCTAAATCCGGCCCCCTTCTAGACAGGTGCCCGACGAGGCGGTCTGATATAATCCTCTCGAACAGTTTTCCCACCTCGTCGAGCAGCACAATGGGCCGGTACGCGGACGGAGAGTCCGCAGGACGCCCCGGCTTCTTCACGAGGACCAGTTTACCCGTCTTCCACGACAGCGGAAACTGGCCCCTCTCCAAGCATGCGCTGAAAAGACCAATTAGTCGAGGCCTGAGAGCCTCCGAGGCCAGGACCCAAACCTTGGCATGCAGCCCGTCAGGTCCTGGGGCGGTGTTCTTGCCGCTCAGCCGGCGCACCGCCACCCTCAAATCTACCTCGGTCACTTCCGGAGCGGATTCACCGTCGTCGTCGTTGTAGCCCGCATTGGGCACCGCAGGGGGCGGAGACATAGTGGGAGGCGTGTAACCTATCTGTGGTCGGGGAAATAGCGCCCCAACCACTTCGTCCACGACCTCCGGCCGGAGACTCTGAGTCAGTGGGGGCGCCCAGGTGCGGAGCTTATCACGCACCATGCGGTAGGGGCGTCCCCACGGGTCTCTGTTCAGAGTCTCCAACATCTCCTCGCGGGCCCGATCTTTTGCCCGCCGGATCTCCACCCTTAGGGTGGCCTTCGCCGCCCTGTACTCCTCGTACAGCTCCGCCTCTCTGGTTTCAGCGTCCAGAGGGCGGATACGGAGCCTGCGGTGCCTGGTGTATCGGCGTCGCGCTGCGGTGCACTCACCACGCAGAGCAGCCAGCTCCTGCGACCACCAATACACCTGGCGCTTGCGTTGGCACGCCCGGATCCGGGGCATCGCCACGTCGCACATCCGAGACATGGCGTCCTGGAGCCATCTCGCCTCCTCGTTAACGTCGGCAGG